CACTTCCAATATTTTCCTATATTTTCTGGGGAATCGACGATTAATTGTGTCTGTGTGTTTTCTCCTCTCCTGAAAAACAGCAGGAGCAGAAGCAGGAGAGCCCAACGCGCGAGAGAAACCATCTGGACGCCCTCAGTGGGTACGGAAAAAATGGGTACCATGCCTAAAATAATGTTTGATCCGCGGGTCGAGAGCACACCTCTTCTGGTCGAAGCTAAGCGGGCCGCGCACAGCTTGAACCATGCCCAAAAACAAATGTTGTCCCAAACCAGGAGCGGCCGCTGTTGGGCAGGCGGCCTTCTGCCTCAAATGGACTCGGGCCGCGGCGGCGCGGACAGCGAGTCCTGTTCAAAATGAACAGGAACTCCTGTTGAGCATTGTACCCATTCTTTCCGTGCCCATTTCGTTCGTGCAGAAACCAGGCAGGAATATCAAGCAAGAAAGCCCGGCGCCCTGGATGAAGAAAGCAAGAAATGGGGAAACCAAAAGGTACTCATACCGCTACTCCCCGGACCTCTCCCGGGGTGCGGTCTGACCAGGAGTTCGAGGCGAATCCAGCTGTGGCGACGAGGGCCTCCCAGGAGGCCTAAAACATTGGAAAACGAGCGAAGGGTAGAGGTATGGGTACCTCCTCCTCCTCCTCCTCCTCAGGAGAAGAAGGCAGGACAAAACGCTCAGGAGGAACTTGGCAGGAACCAAACAAGGATGAAGCCAGCTAAAACCTCGCGCTCGGGAGGCATTCGGCAGGAAGCAGGCAGGAGCCAAGCGTCCGTGAGGACAACGTCCGAGAGAAAGTAGGCAGGAATTCGGCAGGAGTAAAGAAAACGAGGCGTTCGGAGGAATGAGGCAGGAAAAGCAAGCGTTCGAGAGGAGTCAGGCAGGAATGAAGCAGGCAGAAGGCAGGACAAACCAAGCGTTCGGGAGGAGCTCGGTAGGACTAAAAGACAGGGAAGCCCAGCGGTTGGGAGGAACCAGGAAGGATCAAGGTGGACAAACAAGCGCTGGGGAGGAACAAAACCTGACAAAGGCAGGAAAACCCAACATGCGGGGGGAGTTTGGCGGAAGATTTAAGGGAATAAGGCAGGAAAACATACTGCTCAGGAGAAACCAAGCAGGAATATGGCAGGAAAACCAAGCGTTCGGGAGGATGGAACAGGAATACAACTGGAAAGCCGAACATTCGGGAGGAACCCGGTAGGAAGAAAGCAGGAAAACCAAACGCTTGGAGCCAGGCAGACTAGACGAGGCAGGAAAACCCAGCGTGCGGCAGGAGTCGGACAGGAAGAAAATAGGAAAACCAAGTCTCGGGAGGAAGGAGGCAAGAATTCAGCAGGAGCAAGGCAAGAAAACCGAGCGTTCAGGAGTAACCTGGCAGAAATGAAATAACAAACCAAATTTTCAGGAGGAACCAAGCAAGCACTCGGCAAGAATAATACCGAAAAGCCAAGCGTTCAGGAGGAATCGGGCAAGAACTAAACAGGAACACCAGAGGTTCGGGAGAAAGCGGGCAGGAACTGGTCAGACAGGAATGAAACAGGAAATCCGAACGTTCGGGCGGAATTCAGCTGGATTTAAAAAGGAACGAAACGGAAACGATCTACAATTAGGTCGGGCATGTCCTCCTACAGGCGGATTTGGGAAGAAAAATGAAAAAGATTCCAGAAGTATTCAAAAATCGTCAGAAAAGAATGGAAAAATCGTCCCTAGACTATTCCTGGACTATTCTTGAATATTCCCCCTGTAGAGGGTGCACGCCTCTACCTAAATCTACGACACTCCTGGGCGTTCCCCGGTACGGCCTCGATTCTCCCGGGCCTTCCCTGGTCTGTTGGTCTGCAAGACTAACGTGTCTTGCACACCCCTGGCAGTGCCGTCCTGAGTGACGGTCTTTCGCGGTCCCCCGAGTTCCGAGTTCCGAGTTCCCCGGCCTGTCCCCCGGCCTCAGCGCCAGTCACGCCTCCTGGTTTTTCCTGGCAAAGAACGGAACAACGCTGTGCTTCCCACGCCGCCCCGATCTCTCGCCTGCGCCCTCCCCCTCGCCCGCCCCTCCCTCCTCCCTCCGCTTCCCCCTCCCCGTCCCGTTCCACTCCCCCCTGTGTCTCTCCCCCCCTTCGTGCCCCTTCCCCCTCTCCCCCTCCCCTCTTCCTACCAGGGCCCTGCCCCGCCTCCATCCCCCCTCCAGCCCTCCTCCCTCTCCCATCCCCCATCGCCCTCCCTCTACCCCTCCCCCCTCTTTCCAGCACGCAACGCCAAGGGGCCAAGAAACCAACAGAGATGGCGCCGGAAGCTGGCGGGGAGACCACTCCCCCCTCCTTCTCCATCCCGCGTCCCCTCTCCTCCCTCTGCCCTCCCTCCTCCACTCCCCCCTCCCTCTCCTCCCTCCTGCCTTCCTCCTCCCGCCCCCCTCCCTCCTTCCGCCTCCCTCCTCCTCCCGCCGCCATTCTCCCTCTCATGTTCACAATCGCGGAGCACTTGGCGCCCGCCATGTCGAACACGCAGGAACTTCAAGGCGGCTCAAGTCAGTCCCCGTTCGGCACACCCAGCACGCACGTCGCTCACGATGAGCCACCAGAGGCTTTTAGCTGGTGTGCACGTCCGGGGAGGCACCACTCGCCGCATGACTGACGCACTCCGCGCGCTTACCCCCAAGGCGCGTCGCCGCGAGTATAGACTGGTCCAGGTCGGGTTGATTTTCCTGGGAGGTTGTCGCGCAAGGTCACACCGTCGGAATAGTTACTGGTTCGCCACATTCGTGGTTTTGATCAATAGATAGACAGAGAAGAGACCTTCAGTGGAAGCACCAGGGGACACGCCAAAAAACATGCGAAAGGACGCGCCATGGGATGCGCCATGAACCGTGTCAGGGCACGCGCCGCAAAAGTGCCAGGGGACGCGCAACTCAGGAACGTACCAAGGGACGCGCCAGGGGACAGTGCCACAGAACGTGCCAAAAGACGAACCAAGGGACGACCCACCCTGCTCCGTAAGACTTCTCCTCTGGATCCGCGCTCCCAGGGTCACGATGCCGCCTCAGTGTCACCTGGCTCGAACTCCCAGAACCAAGATCCCTTGTAACTTACACTGGATCCGCGCTCCAAGCGGCACGAAATCAATAGTGAACTGAGCTTCGTTCGCGAGCCCAGGGCCACGCATCCCTTGCAAATGGAGCTGCGTCCGCGCTCCAAGGGCCACGACCCCTCGCAGGCGGCACTGCAGCTATCCCCCACATGCTGCGCCCACGCTCCTTGGGCCGCAGCCGGCTGAAAGCTGAGCAGCGCCCGCGCTCCCCTGATCACGATCCGCTCCCAGGACCACCCCCTATATTTAACTATTGTTTTTTTGTATTGCTTTGTTTGTTTATATTCTTTATTTGTTGCTTGCAAAACATGCGTGGTCGTCACGCTCCCGTGGGCATCCGGGAGCGCCCCCCCGGGGCTTCCTGGGCCTGCGTGGGGCCTCCGCACCTCATTTTCTAGCTCTCGGGCGTGTCGCACGAGCTGCCCTGTCGGTCGGCCCACGCGCTGCGCCGTGGCCCGATCGACTGGACAGCGCATATTGGCCCGCTCTGTTCGGGCATCGCCAGACCGCGCCGTCCGGCGGCGAGCGCGGGGGGGAAGCGAAGAGGGGTGGGCCTTCTCAGAGGGCTCCTCCCGGCCATCTAAGGAGTTTTCTGAGCCTTCCCCGAGGACAGAAGCTTCTCAGAAGGCGCGAGGGCTTCTGAGAAGCCCCGCCGCCTTCTGAGAAGGCCTTCTCCTTCTCAGTTCCCCCCCACGCTCGCCGCCGAGCCGTAGTCCTTCCGACCGAATCACGCGTAAGTCCGCTCTGCCCAGGTTGCGCCAAAGGCTGCACTAATAATAGGTTGCGCCATAGGTCGTGCCGTAGGTTGCGGCGTAGTCCGCTGCGTCAGATCACAGGTTCGCCCGCAACGCCCCCCAGTCGAATATTGCAAAGAATTCGTACACCATTCGCTGCCTCGAAGAAAAAATGTTTCCCACCCTGTAGCCACGCCTCCGTCCTGCTGCGCAGCCCCGGTGGCCTCGTCCGAGCCAAGGTTGGCTATCACCTGATATGTCAAGAGACAGTTTGCAACGATCGGCATTCTGCAAATCAGTTTGCGCGATCCGTTCCTAACCTTGTGCACCAAGGATGCTCAAATAAGAATGCACCACATGCAAACTACGACATTATGTCACAAAGGTGGGCCCCGAGGCATGGTTGAGCGCGGGTACAGTACTAACTGGGCCGTTGGAATCAGGACGTCTTGACGTCTTGAGTACGCAGTGCACATAGTTTACCAGCTGCGTGAAGGGCTTCTCGGCTTCGCCCACGGCTACAAGAATTAACACATTGCAGGCAGGGCAAATGGTGTGGGAAGTATCCGGAGTGGTCACACTGCGAGGGCCAGGGGGCTTCGGACACGGCTATTCGCGTGATGCTTGGACAGGACACATGAACTGATTAGGCAACGTGGCCTATTTCTTTGAGAGACGGGTGATACCAAACCATACTAACTGTGTGAGGGGATGCCGACACCGACGCCAACGCCGACGCTGACGCCGACTTCGACGCCGACGCCGACGCCGACGCCGACGCTGACGCCGACGCCGACGCCGACGCCAACGCCGACGCCGACGCCGACGGCGACGCCAACGCCGCCGACGGACGACGGCGACGCCAACGCCGCCGACGGCCGACGACGACGACGACGACGACGACGACGACAACGACGACGACGAAGACGACGGCCAGCCACCCCACACCCTCAGGGTGAGGGAAGGGTGCACGGACACCCTCCACCACGCCACGCCCACAAAGGCCACGCCACAGGGGGGGGGGGGGGAACGATCCCACTCGCGAGGAACGGCTAACGGGCGTACCCATCCAGCGGGGGTGGGGTTCGATCCCGTGTGCACTGGGGGGGGAAGGCGGGGGAGGGGGGGGCGAATCTGGATCACACATGGCGTAGCTTGTTGATTTGATTATGATAATGACGATCATTTCACTGGCACGTCGGCAGCAGCATCCCAATGCCCCTAACCCTATCAGACATCTCAAAAGTCGAGTAGCAAAGACACATCAACGACAATGTCACTACCAACAGATACCTGTCCTAAGGCGAACGCGTGCCTTTCTGGAGCACACGTGCGCCTTCCTGATAGAGGCGTACGTGTCAGGAAAATTACTGTGAGACGAACGCGTGCCTTCTGAAACCACCTAAACCGGTGAGGACACACGGGCAGCCTGTCGGCTGACATGAGATTGGGGCCAGCACACGACTGGAGAGGCAGGGGGGAGGCAAGAAGACGAGCATTAGAAGAAGGAGAAGAAGAAGAAGAAAAGACGGCATTTGACATAGATTGTTGGCGCTCCGCGCGGATTTCTTGGGCCCGCGCTGGATTCCCCCCCCCTCCCTGGCGCGCGGAGCGGGCGTCCGACGCCAGATGCCTCTGAGTGCGTGACCCTGGAGAGCAGTGGGCCTCCCCTGACCTTCCAGGAGGGCTGAAAAATAGCACGCCACTTAAAAACCTATCCCAGAGCTATTCTACGTCTTGGTTTTAGGCTGTTTCGTTTCGTTTCTCAGGTTTTTAGGCCTCCCGTAATAAAAAAAAGCTCTCTGGAAGGTCAGGGTCTGGGCCCCCTCTGCACGGGGGCACGGCCAGGCGGGGGCTTCCCGTGGCTTCTCCAGCTGCCCCCGTGCACGATGCCCCCGTCTGCGGAGCTCGGGGCCCCGGAGCAGGGGGCCCAGCCGGACGTGAAGCCGGCGCTCCCCGTAGGGAAACGAGCTCTCTCTCTCTCTCTCTTTCTCTCTCTCTGTCTCTCTCTCTCTCTCTCTCTCTCTCTCTCTAAATATATATAGATATATATATATATATATAGATAGATAGATATATACACACCGACGCATTTTCCGACGCTGCGCTGAGATTCGCACGGGAACGCGGATCCTGGTGTACACGGATCCTGGTGTATACATTTTTTGAGGTTTCCCCCCAGGAATTGGGGAAATATATTTATATACACACACACACGGGAACGCGGATCCTGGTGTACACGGATCCTGGTGTATACATTTTTGGAGGTTTCCCCCCGGGGTGGGGGAAATCTATATATATATATATATATACACACACACCACACACACACACCACACCACCCCGACGTCGTCCCCGACCCTCAAAAAGTTATGAGATTGCACAACTGCCCGCCACTGGTATTGTAGACGTTCCAGTGTCCGACCTCTCGGGCCGGGCGAAAGGGGGGATAGCAAAGGGGGGGTTTGAGAATCAGCTCACGGCGCTGATTTTCCCGGCGCCTCCTGGCGCCGAGAGGCGGCCTCGAGGCATGGGCCCCTCGGTGGGGCCGAACACCAGCTGCACGCAGCAGATTTCGTGCCCCCCCCTTTCCCGATCCCCCCCCTTCGTCCGGCCCGAACCTCGGAGGGAGGAAGGGAGGAGGGAGGGAGGGAGGAGGGAGTGCCCCCGCCTGCTGCGACCCCGCCTCCGGCGCCCTGGAGACCCTCTGCTCGTCGCCGGCCGGCTCTGGAGGAGCCCCGGGGCCCGAGCGGGCCTCCAGAGGCCCATGGCACAGCTCGGAGAGCAGATGCGCCGCCGTGATGACATTGTTTTTGCGCGGCGCCCGGGGGTGGGGATACCGGGAGGAGCAGGTGCCGCAACTCGGTCCTCGGATCCCCCCCCCTGGGGTGCGCGCTGGCTGGAAGTTCGAGGCGAAGCCAGCGGTGGCGGCGAGGGCCTCCCGAAGGCAAGGGCAGAGGTAGGGGTGCCTTTCCCTCCTCTGAAGAGGCTCGGGGAAGGGGGAGCGAGGGGGAACGGGGGGACCGGCACAGGAGGGGAAACATGTCGACCTGGAATCGGCGACGCATCGCCTATACGTATATATAAATACCGCATAGACCACCCTTCGGGTGATAAGGAGGTGAGGGGGGGGGGAGGGACCACCGTCGCACTCGATCGATCTCACTATCGATCTCACTATCGATCCCATTATCGATCTCATTCGATCGATCTCACAATCGATCTGGCGATCGATCTCACAATCGATCTCACTATCGATCTCACTATCGATCTCGCACTCGGTCTCACTATCGATCTCACTATCGATATCACAACCGATATCACAATCGATCTCACATTCGGTATAACTATCGATCTCACTATCGATACCACTATCGATTTCATTCAATCGATGTCACAATCGATCTCACAATTGATCTCACAATCGATCTCACAATCGGTATCACATTCGGTCTCACTATCGATCTCACTATCACTATCAATATCACAACCAATATCACGATCGATCTCACTATCGAACTCACTATCGAAGTCATTATCGATCTCTCGTTCAGTCTCACTATCGATATCACAATCGATATCACAATCGATCTCACATTCGGTCTCACTATCGATCTCACTATCGAACTCACTATCGATCTCATTATCGATCTCACAATCGGTCTCACTATCGATATCACTATCGATATCACAAACGATCTCACAATCGATCTCACATTCGGTCTCACTACCGAACTCACCATCATCATCAACATCATCATCATCGGGACACCAGCGGGACACCGGCGGGACACCGCGGGCCCCCGGCCGCCCGGAAGGGAGACATTTGGTCCGGCCGCGCCTCAGCCACAGGAGACTTTCTCTCGCCCGCCCACGCAGCTTCGCCTCGCCCGCACGGCACGCACGAACACGAAACCGAAATCGATTTCCCGGTAGGGGGGCTCTCCGTTCCACTTCGATCTCACCCCCTCACCTCCGATATATATATATATATATATATATACAATACAATACATATGTATATATATGTGTATATGTGTATATATATAGGTCGGCGGTGGGCCCCGGGTGGCGAGTCCGCACGTTCCGCGGCGTGTGGGCGATGGTTAGGTGCTCGCTCTGGGGGCCTTCTTGGAGCCGCTCGCTCCACTCGTGCGTCGAGGCGACGGATGTCCTCCTCCTGCTCCTCCTCCTCCTCCTGCTCCTCCTCCTGATCCTCCTTCTCCTCCTCCTCCTCCTCCTCCTCCTCCTCCTCCTCCTCCTTCGCACATCGCACATCCGTCGCATCCGTGTGTCGAGGCTGCGTCGCACATCCGTCGCCTCGACGGCGAACCCGAGTCGAACTTGAACCGAACTGGAGTCGAACAGATCCAGCAGGTGGGCCCCAGAAAGGCCCCCGGAACGAGCATCGAACGATGGGGCCCCTCTCGGCGAGCACTGGGCGATCGGGGTCGATGAACCACCCCTGAACCGCCCCCCCCAATGATCATCGCCGCCCGGCCTTCGGGTAAACCCACACGCCTCTCGGCGAGGCGCAGCCGCTGGAGAGCGCCCCGAGGCTGGAGAACCGCAGGGAAACCAACGAGCACGCCCGAAAACCGAAGAGAATACCTCTACGAGGAAGAGGAGGAAGAGGAGAACGAGGAGGAGGAGGAGGAGGAGATGTCAGAATCCACTATTCCGCAGACGGTTTGAGCGAGCGAGCAAAGCCAAAGCTTAAAAAGTATCCGCCTTCCCCAGCGCGCCCGCGTAGCGTTTCATGGTTGCAGAGCCGTGGTGAACAATACTCGGACCTAGGATGAATCCCCAACCCAAGTCGGGCTCGAGGAAGACTAAATGTAGAGTATCATCCCCAACCCTAACGGATATTTGGGAAAGTGGTGTAAGAACACTGGCATCAGTGATCGGCACGAAGCTATGAAAACGTGGTCTTAAAGACTTTCCGGGTGGCGCGGGTGACTGAACAGACTGGCGAGCAAGTTTCGAATCCCATTGTGGGGCTGTGAGCCAAGAGTTGCAGAACATGGGACGAGCAGGAAAGCATGCGAGCCCCATCACGCTCGCAGCCACACAAGAAAATGCAAAGCAACACTCGGCCAAAGCAACATTCGTGCATGGAGATATGACGAAAATATGTAGGAAGACAGAGAAAGGGAATGGTCCTGAGATGTGGCGGAGGATGTGCATCAGGTACGAACACAATGACAAAAACACGAAAAGAGGCGTTCTGAACGCAGTCATGGAATTCAGACTATCGGGCTGTTCCTAGACTTGCAGTTGCGAGCTAAAGAATACGATGAACTAGCAAGCCCTGACGAGCTAGCAGATGATGCGGTAGCTAGCGCGGCTATGACGACGATCCCAGGACCAATGAAGACACACTTCGGGTTGAACTCTCATCTATGCGAAACACACGATGACCTCAAAGAAGAGATACACAAATACGTCGGGAGCAAGCGGGTCTGGACTAATGCACTTGGAGAAAGAGACAACGGCCCTACGCCCATGGAAGTGGGTTCTGCGAAAAACACCCCGACAGATCTTCCGAAAGGATTCCCACAGGGCGACCAGAGAGGCTCCCCTGAAGGACCCCTCAAAGTCATCCCCAAGGGCACTCCGACAGGCCCAAGGATCGCGGTCTGGCCGCGGATGCCCATCATCGTCCTGCCGAGGGCAAGGTTCCTCCACCCAGGCCCAGGGCTCGCACCAGAACAAGCGGAAAGGACCGGTAAGGACCAAGCGAACACTGAAGGCGAGGTAGGGATCAGTCGAGCGGTCGAGGCAAGAATGGCTGGTGTCAGAAAACCACCAAGTGGTGAGACATCTGCGAGATGAAGAATCATCGGACACTAGAGCGCAATACAACCACAAAAAGAAACACCGCTCAGGCGAAGGAAGCCATTCCAACGAGCAGGCATGGGACCAGCACTCGCAGGGCCCCGGCTGGTCTTGGGGCGAGCAAGGCGATTGGAACCAGGGTGGAGGAGAGCAGCGAGATCAACGCGACCCATACTCCCCAGAAGAGTTCGCGGCTCTGCATCCTGGCGATAGCTCTTGGGACGAAAGCGACAGTGAAGCGAGCGATTCGAACAAGCGTCTCCCACGCGAGTCAGCCACGCCCGCCGAAGGCTTTCCCGAGACAGAAGCACAGGTCGACAATGCATCTGGCTTTGGACACGGCGCTGCGGATTTCCCCGGCAACGCTGGCAACGCCGGCAGCGCGCCAAGCGAACAGGCACTCTGCGCGGGCATGGGCTCTCAGACAGACCCCATTGGAACTCCTATGGCAACAGGCTCTCAAACGAACCCCATGGCCGAGCAGAGCGAAAATTGCCACGATTGTCCTAAACGGTTTGCGATGGCAGATTCAAATGATGAGGGCGATGATCCCATTAGCACTCATCGCCAGGCCACCGAGGGCCTGCAAAGGACGACGCTGTACACGACGATGTCTACGATGATGTTCGCGGTGTCGCTCAGCACAAACATGGCATAAAATCCACGGCGCGC